AAACTAACATTAGTATTTAGCATTTTACACAGCACTGGTTTTAGAGTTGCACATAACTGGTGGATCATTCAGAAATCATGCTCGATGTGTAAAATGCATGTTCTGGAATTCTGGTCCATGACAAGATGGCGTCTTTCCATTTAGCCTTTGATATTTCACATCTACGATGTCCATGAAACTAGATGTCCTGAAAGGAGCACACCAGAAGCTTCCTGGTCTTTAACTTAGACGCAAAGAATTGGAATCTTCATGGGACTGGATGTCATAGGGCAAGTGGATTGTTACCAGTTTATCTGTCGACCTTGCCAAGAGTTAAAAATGAGTGATACACATTTGCCTTTAACCTCGTATATTTGATTTGGCCAGATTACTGTTAACCACAAAAGTTAGTTTTCTGTTCTAATACAACATCCAGAAACTTTTCGTCTAATAGATTTTGATGAAAACAAGAGGAGGTTGTGGCTGTTATGGCCATATATTCTTTTTTGGGCAGACATTTCTTTGAAGTCTGGCCCTGTAGTCATTTTGGAGGATATGGTCTGTGCTCTTCATCATTAAATTCAATTACATATTCTTCAGTTTGATTTTTTGTTGTTTCGTCCTAATTTCCGGATCTCATCAAGTGCTCTTTTAGAGGCAATAGTTACATCCCTGCTTCACAGGAACCAGTGACAGCATCTTTGACACAATTTGCATATATGTTGCCAACTGCTCATACTAGCAAGAGACAAGGAATCAACGCTGCTAATCCAGTACCGTTGACGTCTTTTGAGGTTTGGCGTTTGTTCGTACAGTTCAGCTGATTTGTTGGGGTTTATTAACGCTGCGGTTAATATGTCAAGTAAAACTCAATCAACAGTTCCTCAGCTTTACCCGATTGTCCTTAAAAGGGGACCATTATGCTTGATTGGCTTCCTGCCAATATTAGGGACACATTCGAAACTAACCCTTCCATTTTCACTTGACTAAAACCAAAAATTCCATCAGTTTATCTGTTTTGATTTACTTAACTGCATCAGACGTTGCCTCTCGGTGACACAAAATGAACTCACTTATGTAGCAGAATCGTAGGCTCGGGGTGGGTCCCGAGTGAGTACAAAACGGCCTGCTGATGAGGTTGTGGAGTGTAAATAATATCGCACCATAGGCATTTTAAGATTCATGATGTAATTTAGAGTAACTTTTATGGGGGGGGAGGAACGAGGATGATGGCCTTGCTTGATAATTATAATCCGACAACTTTGCGGTCGAGGGAAGCCTTATCAGGCATTAACAGGAGTTATCACCAGCCAACGGAGATCGTCATGACAGCTGCCTTGGTTGATGCACGCGCTTTACAACCCAAACATCAAGGTGAAAGCGTCAGCTCGGCTGAAGTAGCCCACCCACTTGTGGAGACCCGTTCACTTGCGCGCGAGCCGACGATTTCATGTGGCCACTGAGGGTACACGCATGTGCGCACGTGTGCGCTGCCATGATTGGCGCGGACGACTGGGCTGCATTGGGGCGGCTGCGCCTCCCGCCTTTGCCACATGCGACGCCTCCATCCCTCGTCCCAGTGTGCTGCCCAAGCGGACCCGACGCCTACTTAATGCATGAAATATTGCACAGGGATTTATACTAATCTGATAGTTGCGCACGTGAGTGACCCCTCACTTTTTATCATAAACTCTAAAAAGGAGACGGTTTTCTATGTTATTCATCAAACTGTCCTTCATGAAATTTTACTACTTTTCAGATAAAAGGCATGATGCCCAGTTGAGCTTTATTTCATATGTAGGATGACAGACAAGTCTTTGTACTGTATGAGACAATACTCTTATTTGCACGCAGATCAAATAAGTTTTAAATTACATGAATGAGAGATTAGTTGAAAAATGCGTAAATATCCTTGCTTCCGATGGAGTTCTCTTAAGCTCCATTTGGCGGGCGTAAACGCAGTGACAACTTGGTGATTCAAATCAAAGTCACACAAACTTTCTGCAAAATTTTTACCCCAGACAGAATTCTACCTGTCATGACTGAATTGCGTTCATCAGTGCAACAGCACGTGAAGTTTGTAACTCCGACCCAAAATGTTTTGAAAGCTCTGAGGCACGCAATCTCTGTTTTCTAAATTTGTTTTAGGAATAAGGCAATGCTCATATTTACAAAAATACACGAATTTGGATGATTTGCCGATGACGCGGCGCACGCGATAAAATTTAGCTTCCTTAAAACCTTCGGATTGCTTGGATAAAGGCATAGAATCACATAGTTAGCCAAACCATAGCCAGGCCAAAACAAATCAATTTCTCCAAAAAGTATAGCGTAAATTTGTCTTACATATTTATAGGATCGGCCGAAATTAATGCTATGAGGTTACCCAAATTGACAAAACCTTGATTCTGCTTTAGAAATTTTGAAAAAAATTGCTTAATGTTTAAGTTCGAGTCAAATTCTTGCAAATGATTTTGTAGATTTATACCTCTTGTTATTAGAGCAGGATGATTGCGCCGACATATAGTGCAGCAATGATTGCAATCAAAAGCAGGCCACTGCTACTTGGGTTCTAGCTTAACCTACCATGGGTGTTACGCTCACGCAACTGAACTTGGGCTTTCGTCACGTGACATCAGTTAGTGAGACTACTTCGCGACCCGAGAACACAAGGACCAGTGACACGACGATACGACGGCGTGACGTGACCGCTTATTTGCAAACAAAACCCTCTCGATCAGTGTGGCGTGGCGGTGTGTGCCATCACGTCTGCAAATCTAATACGCTACCAGTAGTTCAAAGGGCGTCAAATCAATGAGCAGAAGTTCGTGTGTGGTAACCGACCGAAACGAAGTCATCAAACGTGAGAATGGTTTGTGCCTAAGTACATTCGCGGACGTTCTTGAAAACCGTGCAAGTTCGGGTAGCCCTCCACAAAGCCCTGCGTGATTCCAACGTGTTGACAACACACTCCTCGCCCACCAGCACAAGTTCTCGGTTGGGGTTCTGGCTGCTGGGCCTTGTCAAATTATCGTTGTTTGTAAGTGGTGATTCACGCGTGGTGCCTATCCCGGCTCACGCGGCACTTTCATCTAAATGGGGCCTTACTCGCATGACATCGAATGCACGATTGCATGCGCCATCGGTCCTCAGGTGTTTGGTGCGTGGATGCGTGTTTAGGAGGCTCTTGCGTTGTCTGCAAGGCATCTCGTTGTTTGTCCACAATGCAGACCCTTAAGAAGGTGTCACAGAAGCCCGACGAGTAGGTGTGACACATTTTATGGGCACTACGGCGTAAACCACTCAACTGCCATTCTTATCAAAAATGCAGCATTGTTGCCAAGTTTATCTCCTCAGGCTTGTATTGTAATAAAACATAATGAATGAACACTGGTAGGAAACGTTCGAAGAGTTACTAAAATATGGTCCATGCAGGGCAACAGTTGTATTGTGTCCAGGCTGGAATTGGCATGCAGTGAGTCCCGACAGATTTCCAGCCCACCTGGACACCAGCTCGGCGGTCGACTCTGAATTGGCCCCTCCGTGATGCAGGTGAGCTAGCTACAGTGACACAAATACGCTTCTAAAAACATTGGTGTTTTCCCTCGGCATGTTGATTGGTGATTTCTCTTACAAGATAATGCGACCTCATACTTACGATTCCAAATCCACATTTCATTGCCATTCATGGCAATAATTGCATGATTGGCACTCCATGCGCTGCTAGAAAAGCTTTAGGGAACTGCAAAACTGTTTGTGTATAGATGTCTACGAATGGTAGGCTGGCTCCCGGGCATAATTTCACTAATTTCTTTCGAAAGGTACTGAATACTTGGGCGCACTTGCTACACATCATTGTTGACATGTTACGCACGTCCCCGTGAAACAAACTAGGGGTCCTTTAGGAGACTTAACCCTCCCACTTTGCTGATGGTATTTTGGAGCCCTTAGTTCTGTCGGCGATACATACACTTTTCCTAGAGACTTTCTACAACGAATCGCGCTGATAAAACTACCACAAACAAGTCCCACTAATGCTGAATGTAAATGTGTTCGTCTGATAAGAAAATCATATCACTAATTCACTTTGAACAGCCCGACCTAACAGTTCGGTCACAGACCATCCAGGCTGGGCCGATGAGTGTACGACTGACGCGAGTAGCGCACACCCCTGTTCGAATGTCGAACTGTATCGCACCAAACTTCGCAATCACAAGTTTAGTGTGCATTGAAGGCTGAGTTGTATAAGGGCTTATAATGCGCCCAACGTCTGGGTCGCATGCGTCTCCACAGCATTGCCATTAAGCCGCGCCAAGCACCTTGCGTGGGGGTGGCCAAACTCAGTAGGGCGGGCGTAACCGCACTCGTTACTGGGTCAGCCATCACGCCCATGCAAGGCCCAAGGTCGGCAAGTGTGCCACGTGAGGAGGACTCTTTCAATGATTCAAGCGACGAGGCAGACGACTCTGCCGTGTCGCCCAACACCCAAACGACTCAAGTGAGGGTAGGCAGCACTTAAGGGATGAGCCTGACGCACGAGACACTCAATTCAATTGACTACTTCTAACTTGCGTTGGTTATAGTCGCTCCTTACCCGAAGCAGCTAATAAACTCTATTTGTTACTGAAGTACCTTTAGCAGTCTTCTCATTTACGCTAGATAATGCTATAGTAAATAAGCATAGGAAAACAAAACCACACTTCACTAGGCATTTCATAACGCCATACGCAAGCACAGACCCAGACCTCAGGGCGTGACTTGTGCTTTAATGTCTGAGTAAACTTTTCCTCCATCTAGAAAGACGTTGACCTCAACTCGGTGCCAATGCGAAAAGCAGACAAGTGTGTTACAATTACTCAGAGTTCAGAGGTTCTAATTGGTTGGCGCACGTGCAACGATGGAGTATGAGAGGTTTCAGGCATCGATGAAATAATTATCTTATAGGTTCGCTGTCCTGGCACTGCTCGGTAGCAATCAAATTGAAATAAAAAAGGCAGCCAATTACACAATATAAATTCATATTAGGTATAAGTCTTTCGTCGTTTCGGTTCCCTATGGCTCGTAAAAGTTTGCTCTGCACACTCATGAAATGTGCCTTCCTGCGGTCGAAAGCATGTATTACACACATCGCAGTGCTGATAACTTGGGGGTTGGCAGGTGCCGCAGGGTTTGCAGTGCACATACGTTTCGCCGTGCTGAAACAACAAAATGCGCACATACACAGCTACTTAAAAACATAAAAGTAGATATAAATATATGTAAGACCTACAGGCGTTGTGCAAGCGTTGCACATGTTACAGTGCTTATTCTTTATATCCGAATACCGTTGGCAACTCTCACAGAACCAATAATCGTCCGCTATGGTTTTGGGAGGTACAATTTTGTGTGCAGGAGCATCTGTGAATAACCGAACCACCGAAACCCGGCGTTTTGAATTATTTCCATCATGTCCTGAACTCATAAATCGTACGTGATTTTCGTAGGTAACCTACATAGAAATTAGTGCAACACTAATATTTGCAGTTACCTTATAGTCGAGCATCTTCATTAGCGGTGCAACCTGAATCAGCTTTCTCCCAATAAAGTAGGGAATAGTCACCATCATAAATGTATTGGAACACCCAATTTCTTCTTTTAATCTATTCAAGGTTTCAACGAGCGGCTCCATAAAAACACCGAATGGAGGGTCGCAAAATATCAAGGTGTTGCCATTACAGGAGTGCATGAATGTTCTGGCGGACTCCTCTTCTGCCGGACTGAAGAAATAACCGTTAAGCGCGTTAAAGCGAGCGAACAGAGACGGAGGGTAGAAACTCGCCTAGAGCAAAAGGATGAGACCTAGCGAAGAATGATTCACCAGTCGGACGTCGAGATCGAGTAGGAACTTGCGCACAGAGAGTGGCTTATGAGTCTTCTTACCACAGGCACTGAGGAAGTCAAAGAGTCTTGGAGAACCAACGCAAAGAACGTTGTCGATTCGAAGGGCATGGAGAGTAGAGAGCATGAAATTCAGCCATTCAATGGAAAAGAAGTATTGCTGAAAGGAGAACCAGCAAGTGACATAGTTAGTGGAAAGAACCCGGCAAATCTGGAAAATTGCGTATCACGCCCGAAACAGATTTGCATAGAATAAGATTCTGACATGCATCACCACTACCTACGGCGTGTTCAGAGGATTCTTCCAGTGGCTCAAGTAGGTACGAAGGCATTGACAGCATAGCCTTGGACAGACTGCTTTTAATACGATGAGTCTGGTGTTCACTGGAGGGACCAATAAATAACATCTGGCAAGTTTGACAAAAATATCGATTCCGGCGTCCAACGTGAAAAAGTGACTCCGATTTAATTTGACATTTTAAGAGCGATTTCGTAAGCCTGTCGTCTTTAGCGCAAGCTGTAGCATTTCGAAATGCCGAGCACTTGTAGAATGGTGGTTTCCCGTCTTTGGGCTCCAAGCAGAGTTTCGGACCTCAGAAATAATAAAGAGCAGCACTTATAAAAGATATGAAAAAGTTAATCTTAGCCCTACACTAAAGGAAGCCAATGGAAGAAGAGAACCAAGAAAGTCCCTTGGGAGAAGTTATACTTTCGGAAACATGAGCCGTTACTTCAGCTATTTACGGATATTTAGAAGTTTATCAATCAAATTTATCAAGTAAAGAGGCTACTGAAAGAGGAAGAACCAACGTTTTGCAAACCCAATATGAACTTACAGTTCACTAAATAGAAAGTTATAAATCTGGAACATAGTAAACTGTAATAATGATCGTCAGAATCATACAGTCAAAAAAGGCTATTGCTAGTCGAAGCATAAACAAAGAAAAAAAGCCACGCGGTGTCTTGAACGTCCAACAAAACCAAGTGATATAATGAGCACGAATTCACTCACTCAATTTAATTTGAGAAAAGCCACTATGTGTGAACTTGATTAGCCACAGGGCCGACATCTACCTAATGAGCCACATGGAAACTAGGATTCTACGTAGCGCAAACATTGGAGATAAAATCAGAAATAGTATAACCAACGACACCTCGATGGTTTTACGTTATGGAAACTAACTTCCTTGTCAATAGATAGTAAGAATCAATGTAGGGGTACTTGCAGTAGAGTTGTTAATTTAGACAAGGTCATGGCATTTTGTCTACGCAAGCTTCGGTATAGCTCACTAAAAATAACTACCATGAGCACAATAGAGCACATTTTTCGCAATACTAACTGACGCATAGAAACCTCTCCTTCGATGACCTCTTTTATTCATGCAGGAGCAGTATTGTGTGGTGTTGTGATGTGGTGTGGTGTGGCTGTGGTGTAGTGTGGCGTCGGATTAGGGCGCAGACATGTCGGACCACCTGGCCGCAGCCAATCCCGTGTCTCTCTGCGATCCAATGGCATGCGGGAAAGGAAGGCAGCCAACCAGAGAAGGTCACGACTGACGAGCAGTATATAATGAGCGGCGTGGCCAGCGTTGTGGACTCGGATGGAAGGCGCCTGACGCGTGGCTCTGGCTTCTGATTGGTCAATTAAGCCTGTTCTGTTGTACCCGTCTTTTTCCTATTAGGGCTCAAGTATTCTATGTTGGTGGCAGCGGATGCGTTCGAATAACGCAAATCGAACCCCAGCCCTTTCTCTTCTATGGTCAACACAGGCAAAGACCC